CCGCCAACTACCTACTACTATGGTGACAGCTTCGATGCTGCTCAAGCATATTTTCCACAAGGTATAGAATAACCGACTCCTTACGCAAATTCACCGACGCTCTATCTCTAATGCAAAAATAATACACTTAAATGATTCATGCATGCATAATCAGTAATTCCAAGATTTAGAAGGGATAGTTTAGGTTGAACCAGTTAAAAGTCGCAGAGAAACTGACACATGACAATTCAGGCTAACAAAGGGACCCCGATGATGACAAAGGCTATCGCTTTGGATGACGTAATGTTGTACATGTCTACATAATGTACCGAAATCGTCACAGTCCAGAAGTCTAAGAATTCAACAGTCTAAAAGTTCTTTATCGCGCCGTGCACAGCCACATCCTTGTTCATGATGATTGTAAGGAGAGGTCACCCATTTTGTTCTAGGGAGTGAGTGCGTGAGTTTAGTTTTTACGCCGCACTTAGCAATATTCCAGCTATATGGCAGCGGTCTATATATAATCGATTCTGGACCAGACAATCCAGTGATCAACAGCATGAGCAACGCACTGCGCAAATGGGACCGATTACATGTGTCAACGAGCCTGACCACCCGATCCCGTTAGTCGCCTCTTACGACAAGCATTGGTTACTGAAGGTTCATTTTAACCCGAACCGTCACGGGTATTGTTCTAGGGAGGGGTGTGTGGTGGGGTGTCATCAATTTTGTACATGACATGCAGGGGGTCTCTTTAAACATAAACTTTAGGGTGGTGGGAGTGGTGGGGTCATTTACATTGTACATGTCTCTCCATAACAATCATCATCATCATCCTCTCCCACACTCCACACCCAGGCCATAAATTATGAACGACCCCTAATGCCACCTTTAGTTCGCGTTATAATTGTTGTCATGCTCTATAACCCCAGGACAAACGTGTTGCAATACCTACACTAGGGTAGTTTATAGAATGACCGTGCTGGAGTTATAGATGATGGAGCGTCGATAGTCTAATCCATATCGACAAATTTAAAGACTCTGTATGGAAACTGTCAAAACAGTATAGCACCTGATAATACTTGACTGACATGTATGTGTCTAATACTGGTAACTGCATACTTCTTTAGGTACTAAAGAAGATCCCGCAATACTACCACTGAAGTTTGTTGGGACTCTCGAGAAGGAACATCCGCATATGGCGACAACCTTAAACTTGCCAAGTAGCAAACCTCCTGATATTTTGCACTGTGACGTAATAATCATTACACGAAGGTGCCTTCCTATTTTTATATCTTTCGCATCTGAGGCATTTGATGGCATTGATCAGTATAATGCTGAAGTGGCTCGCCGCATGAGGGTAATTCTTGGAAAATACACAGCAGAAAAGTTCAATCTTATCTTTTTGGCCACCGAGGAAAAACTATATCTCAAAAAGAAAAACTTTCACAATACCGTTCATAAGAGAAAGTCTATGGTAATTGAATCGTGCTTTCCTAATCAAAAGAACATGAACGATTCGAAATTTGAAAGACTGAAGACTGCTTTAACAGCCGCAGTTGCAAGAACAAGGATCCCAATGTCATCTAAAAAATGGTGAAGTCGGAGCGTTCTGGGTTTTGAAGAAAGAACAGTTGTCAATGTTACTTGACAATATTGATCTGCAATCACAACCTGGGAAAACAGTGTTCATGTTCGAAGCTGCCCAACGACTGGAACGCAGCGGAAAAACACTACTTATCTGTGACAGCATGGAGGAAAAGACTAAAAGAAAGTAGGTTTGTATACTAGAGGTAATTTGCTCCATCAGAGCAAATGAATTATTGTAAAGGGCATGACATATTGAGCTGGTTGTTTTACATATAGCTTCGTTCTTCAAGAATGGGTTGACTGGGGCTAAGCGATCATACATGCTAGGTACTTTGTATATTCAGCAGGTTTATTGACTTAGCCTAGTGTTGGGTCTTATGGCTAACGAACATTCTAACACGCAATCTCTGTGTGATGGGATGGTCAGAGATAAGGAGTGTGAATATGCCTATTTTCAGCCATGCCCACGATGAAGTGACAATCGAGACTATAGAATCTTTCCACCAGTCTCGTCAGGACTTGACACAGTTTAAGCACATCATGGTATCCGCCACACATCACAAACTCGAGACCAATCAGGACAAGCTGAAGGCAATTCCTACTCCGATATTGAGGATCTACGAACGCGATGAAGGTTAGTATCACAGATTATGTCATACCTGTGAAAACAATTGTATCATAACGCGTTTTCTAAATTATCGGCTGATGCCTTTTTCATTTCAGTGTTGTGAGTTTATAGCTAAAATATTATCAATTGCATGTTGCCTTCTTCAAAGGCAAAATGCAGCTCGCTGATGACTACTCACTGTAATAAATGTTCGCATTTGTGTTTCAGTTCCCAAAGAAACCGTGCGTGTTGTGCTCCTGGGCTACGCTAAGACAGGGAAAAGTCTCCTTGCCAATACAATTGCAGGCGAGAACCTGGATTACTTAAACCTACAACAGTATGTCAAGAGAGACGGGCAAGCGTGGATAACAGGACATTTCAGATAATGGACACACCAGGTTTTTCCTTGCACAACAGCCAGAACATTAAGACTACAGTTGAGGAGTTGGTGAGCAGGGCAAGTTCCACTGATGCTTTCTTGCTTGTTGTACAGGCATCGCCAATGACATATGAAGAGGAACTGCTCTTCAAACATGCCAGCGCAATTGCTAGGAAGCCAATATCACACAAAATAGTGCTTGTGTTCATAACACTAGATGACGATATCACTTTGAAGGGATATCTCAAGAACATTCCCAGTTTCCTGAAAGAATTTCTCCAGTTCTGCTACAACCTCCCGTGCTTGTCAACATTGGGACACAATCAAAGATGGCGAATGATCAAATACAAGACCTGTTTAGGGCAACAGCCAAGATACAAAGTACGCATGTGCATGAGCAACAGATGAGCAGAATACCTCACAAACTGACTGCAGCCATCCGTGAACTAGAGAAACGTTACAGGGACAACTTGACACGGCAAATTCAACAGATGCAAATAATCCTCTGATCGCGTTGTGGGCATGAATATACAGTCGTTAGACACCAAGTTCCGGGAAATGAAACTTTACACTCATTTAGGGGACGCACACTTTTCCGGACCCAGGATATCCGGAAACCTCGCCTATTCGACGATTTCTACTTGAAGTGAAATACATACTACATAGAATGCTTCATTTATCAGAAAATTTAGTGAATTGTAATTGCCAAGGTTGCCAAATACACTGTGTCGTGACCCATATACGAGACATCGACTATGCTTGTTTTGCAATTCATCAATCTGCATCTAGCAACATTTTTTCTTTTATGAAAACAGTTCTTCGTATATCTCGACTTTTGTTCTTAACATATTGTATTAGTTTAATTGAAATATTCAATATTGTTTACATAAATGGTCACGTGAACATAATTACATTATGGCCATTCTTATTTCAAATATATACAGTAAATAATCCAACTAAAATAACATTTTCATTTCTGATATAATAATTGTTTCTTTTATATATTATTCCAACCATTCCATCAGCTTTCCGTGTGTAATATTATTTAGTATTTCTATAACCAATTCACCGGTAAACTGAACGAAAACATATGGGCAGTTTATAGCCATTTTCGTTTTTGTTTGCGAGATGACACGCGGTAATCTTAGTCCTTGTATATACAGAAATCCCAGGTAGGACAGGAAATGCAACTAAATCTGATATGACTAAAACTGATGTTTTGTGTCAAGTTGTACATTATTAAGGACCGAGGTCGTTGTCAGCCCGTCGTTCACCTGACTTCGCAGAAGGGACGCTACTCTGAGCATCAGATATTGGCACCATAAGCGTATATGGCCTAGAAAGCCATGAAGACTATTGTTTGGAATAATATTACATATTTTTTTAAGGCTAGGTTGCACCTGAATTATTCTGCTATGGTTAGTTTTATTTGTGTGTCAGTATAAAGAGCTTGTCATTTTTATCATGTACATTGGTATTATGAAATACCATGCAGACAGTCTTATTATGTTGTAACTGTTTTGGTTTTAGAGACTAATAGTGTATATTTAGTGTATTTGTTTGGTTTTCCCTGATGTAATCATAATATTTTGCAGAATTGTTTCTAGTCAGGAAATGTGCAGCAGTATTTTGCATTTTGTGTACTCGTTTGGAATAATATCTTTATTTGACCAGTAGTTAAGTTCTCTGACTGTAGATACATCGTAGTAGTGGCTTAAGTCGTTGACATTTGATACAATAGATGCTCCCTGGCTGTTAAAAGTTTACTGCGAGCGAGCGCATGAGTGACCCGCGATGGTCAAAAAGGAGTTTGTTGAGAGCAAATATAGATTGAATGTTGAAGTTTCAGAGACGGTCGAGATGCACTCTTCAGGTACAAATGTCACTCTTATAATATATCCATGTTGTGGCGGTGTATTATACTATTTTCAGAGTATTTTTGCAATTACAGGAATGTTCAATTATTTGGTCACGTGCAAAACTGTATCCTATTTTCGTGGTAATGGTGCGCTCTGATACATTGTGTTTTGTAACTATATAGCAGATTTCTGTTATAATGTCAGGATTTTAGAGTCAGTTTGTAGTTTTAGAATCAATATTAAGTCAACATGTTCAGTGTTAATTCATGGAATTTACTATCTGTAGTTTTGCTAGACTTTTTCAAAGTTTCGTGAAACTTGGGAGCAGTCATTGCATGACAGTGTCATGTATTGTGAACTTATTGCTGTAGTTTCATTATAATGGGATATTCACAAATGTTGTTTCATGATAATAAGTGCTAAATATAAGTTGCTACATTGTATCATTCTGTTATTTCAGAACCTGGAAGTAAACATCCTTGTTAGAGGAATATCTCGACCAGTGTTTTATGGTTCTGTCTATATGATTCCTGCCAATTTTCTGAAGAGTAAAGTACTGTGTTCAGCTTGGTAGGTAGAGAGAATCATGAGTTCACCATCACCTGATGATACTGGCACGGGTGATGATCTACATACCCAAGATATTGAAGGGAGAATCAAGTTGGTGAAGAATAAGAGAAAGAGTATCCGAGGAAAAATAACTAGAACTATCCACAGAGTGCAAGAAGCTATTGCTCAAGAGAATGTGAGTCGACGAAGACTGTTGAAAGAACTTGAGGAGTTACGTACAGACTATACTAAGGTCTGTGAGATACATGCAGAACTTTATACCTGTGTTGATGAAACTCAGGTTGCCAGGTTAGACCAGTGGGAGGCTGATGTAATAAATGACATCTACACCTTTGAGGAAGAGGCTGAAGATTACTTACTGTCACTTAGTGAAAATGGAGAGGAAGATCTATCACACAGTAAATCACAGAAACAGAAGACTACAAAGTCTAATCATGCTAATAAGTCTCATCATTCTACTCCATCGGGTTCAGGGAGCAATGCTGAACAGAATTCATCAGCTGATGGTCATTCTGGTGACACAGGGCAAATCAACAAAATCTTACAGACACATCCACAGATTCACCGGATCAGTCACAATCTAACACCAGTGAGAAAGATGATATCCCATCAAGTTTGCCCAGTGGCAAAAGCTCACATACTGGACAACAGTCATCGGCAGTTGAGAAGCCAGACCTTTTACAACAGAACCAGCCATTTGATACATGGATAGGAGGTCTAGTTGAGTTTACAGAGACAGAGTTGCCTTCAAATTTGAATAATATGTCTATTGCTGAGGCTCTATTTAAGTTGGAAGCCAGCAAAGACATTCCAACTGTTACCTTAGGGAAGTTTGATGGAAACCCTCTGGAGTATGTGAACTTTATTGAGAAGTTCAAAATTCATATTCATAATAAACCTCATCTGTCAGATGATAGGATGATGCAGCTGAGAATGCATGTATCAGGTGATGCAGAGAGGGCTATATCTGGACTTGGTTCAAGTGGAACAATGTGTGCCACAGCCGTGAAGATTCTACAAGATCAGTTTGGTCAGGCAAGCATTATTGCACGTGCACTTATTAACAAGCTGACAAAGGGGCCAAAGATTCCTGGAAATAATAGAGAAGCCTTGCGTGACTTTTCACTGGACCTAATTAACTGCATTGCAACCCTCCAACGCATAAATTACTATGCAGATGTGAATGCCAATGATAATCTACGGAAGATTGTGACCCGGCTGCCATCACACCTCATAGAGAAGTGGAAATTTATTGCTACAGATCTTAGAGAGAAGGGTGAAGTACCTTCAGTGACTCATATTAGTGCCTTGTGAGAAAAAGGGTCAAAGTTGAGTTTGATCCTGATTTTGGTGACATTGAAAAGGGCAAGACAGATTGGAAAGCAAATTTTCCAAACCCTAGGGATAGGAAAAGGGGTGTATATTCACAGCAGCAAATAAAGAGAACACCAAAGTGTTACATGTGTGAAGAGGAACACCGAGTTTCTGAGTGTCCCACACTTGTTGATTCATCTGTATCAGAACGTGTGCAGAAGGTCAAGGATCTCAGACTATGTTTCAGTTGTCTGGTGAGAGGACACTTAGCTAGAGAGTGCAAGTCAAGGAAACAGTGTGCTACAAATGGCTGCAAAAGGACTCACCATAAACTGCTCCACATGGATCCACCAATAGCAAGCTCAGTCACGACACCTCTGGATTGTGATAGCATATTGCCAGTAGTGAGAGTACTGTTCAAAGCTCAGAATGGCAGAACACGGGAAGGGAATGTCTTAGTGGATGGTGGTGCAGGGACCACAGTCATAAGAAAGGATTTTGCAAAGGCTCTTGGACTCCAAGGCAAACAAGAGAGACTTCATTTGTCATTAGTAGGATGTGAAAGGTTGGAAAATATCAATAGCCGACGAGTAAAGTTTTGGGGTTCAATCTAGAGAGCGGGGAAGAATCCCAGATAGATGCCTATGAGATTGACAAGACAGTCTTGAGTATGGAGCCCTTGGATAGGCCATGATTACATTCATTTCCTCACTTGCAGGATATTGACTTCCCACACAAAGCTGGACCGATTGACCTGATATTGGGAGTACACTACAGTCACCTGCATGCGGAAGAAGAGGTACGCCAAGGACTGCCATTTGAACCAATTGGGAAGCGGACGAAACTAGGATGGTATGCGATGGGACCAGACAAAACACAACGTCTATCATCCATCTGTTCAGTTAACTTTGTTGACAAAGTTAATCTTGAGAAGTTTTATGACTTTGAGACCCTTGGGATTCAGGCTCCCAATTGTGACTGCCCAACTGAAGTTATGTCAGGCGAAGATCGTAAGGCACTTGAATTGATGCAATCATCTTGTGTCAAGCAGGGAGATAGATATGAGATTGGTCTTCCATGGGAAAGGGATCCATCATCATTGCCAAACAACTACTTTCTTGCCGAGAAGCGCCTCTGTTCTCTGGAACGCAGTCTCCAGAAAGACGACGCAAAGGCGAAGATGTACAATGACGCCATTCATGAATATGAACAGAATGCCTGGGCTGAGAAAGTTGATATGAGTAAATCACATTGTGATCAGGGACCAGTGTATTATCTTCCTCATCACGGAGTCTACCGGCCTGATAAACCAAGCACACCCCTTCGTGTGGTGCTTGACCCAGCGTGTCAGTACCAAGGTGTGTCACTGAACTCCTACTTGTACAAAGGTCCAGGGTTGATAGGAAAGCTACTTGGCGTTCTTCTTAGGTTTCGTGAAGAACCTGTAGCCATAGTTGGAGACATTTCCAAGATGTATTTACAGATAAAACTCAAAGATAGTGATACACATGTTCATAGATTCCTCTGGAGAGACATAGAAACAGCCACATGCCCTACTGTTTACAGACTTCTCCGAGTCACATTTGGTGACAAACCATCACCTGACATGGCGAGTTATGTTGTCCTCCTTATGGCAGATCAACATAAGGAAGATTATCCTGATGCATCAAATGTGTTGAAAAGAGACAGATACATGGATGACTTAATACATTCTTGTGAAACTTCTGATGAAGCTTTAAAGAGAATGCATGATCTTGACAGAATCCTAGCCACAGGACAGTTCCAGATAAAGGAATGGTATTGTTCACTGGAGGAGGTTCGCAAACAGCTTGCACTGGAGAAGCGCGGAAAGCTGAATGAAACAGATATTAGTCTTGATGGTGAGGAGGTCAAAACCTTAGGTTTAGGATGGAATCCTGTGATGGATACTATGAGCTTTGTTGTCAGAGATGTGAGCACAGAGAAGTATACCAAGAGGATAGTGCTGTCAAAGATGTCAATGTTATATGACCCCCTAGGTCTGGCAGCAGCAGTCACTATAAAAGCCAAGATGGCAATGCAAGATGTCTGGAGACACAAGTCCTTGGACTGGGATGACCCCCTACCTGACGAGATGTGTGAACTATGGCAAGGATTATTTGCAGAGATGAAAAGGCTTGAACATGTTGAATTTGTAAGATGCCTGAAGCCATGTGACTCTGTCGGTTCTTCCGAGCTACATGTGTTTGGTGATGCAAGTATGGGAGCCTATGGAGCGGCAGCATACCTACTGTGGCCAACTGTGAGAGGTACAGAAGTACAATTGGTGTTTGCCAAGGCAAGAGTGGCTCCACTGCATCAAACAACCATACCAAGGTGGGAACTTATGGCTGCCTTAGTTGCCACAAGGCTTGCCAAGACAATCTGTATTGAATTTAAAGAGAAGCCATCAGATGTAACATTGTGGACTGACTCTCGGATTGTACTCCACTGGATACACTCTGATTCAATATCATTCAAGGCCTTTGTAGGTGTTCGTATTGCGGAGATTCAATCTGTTTGGGATGCAAGTCACTGGAAGTATGTACCAACAGCCTTGAACCCAGCTGATGACTTGAGTCGTGGCATATCTGTCGAGGAGATAAATGGAAGATGGGTTCATGGTCCATCTTTCCTGAAACTGCCAACTGAGCAATGGCCTATACAACCAACAGATGAAGTAGTTGTTAAAGACAGTTCAGAGATGAGGAAATCTAAACTTGTTGCTTCATGTATCCCAGTGTTACCAGTCATTGAAGCAGAGAATGTGTCAAGCTGGCAGCATCTTTTTGAGGGTTACAGCCCTTACTGTCTTCGATTCATCCAAAGACTTCGAGACAAAGTAAGAAAGAGTAACAGCAGACTGAGTTTGAAATATCTCTGCAGTGTCATGAAGCATCTGCAGCTGAATTGTTCTGGGTGAAATATGTACAAGCAGGGATGCTTGACTGGGAAACGGATTTCATTGACCTTGTTCCATTTGTTGCGAATGGTGTCATCCGAGTGGGAGGCAGATTGCGGCATTCCCTTTGCAGTATGATCAGATCCATCCTATATTGTTACCTGCAGGTCACCACATTTGCAGACTGATAATGCAGGATGTACATGTGAAAATGGGTCATGCAGGACCAGAGAGACATTATGCGAATGTCGGAGAACATACTGGATTGTTCGAGGAAGGAGTCTTGCAAAGGCTGTAGTGAGAAATTGTGTTATTTGTCGAAAGCTTCGACAACCTGGTCATACAACCTTGATGTCAGACCTCCCCCAGAAAGACTGATGCCATTTTCCCTCCATTCACTGTAACGGGTGTTGATCTGTTTGGACCGTTTTGTTGAAATATGGAAGGAACAAGACAACAAAGGCTTGGGGCTCAATATTTGCATGTGCAAATGTGAGAACAATTCACTTAGAAATTGTTGATGGACTGTCAACACAAGCATTTCTCCAAGTTCTTCGGCGCTTTGCTGCAAATCATGGATGGCCACAGAAAATTATCTCTGATAATGGTACCTCATTTGTAGGGGCAGAGAGAGACTCAGGGCATTGGTTGAGGAAGGGAAAAAAGCAAATCCAGGATTTTGCAGTGCTTCATAGAGTCAAGTGGCAGTTTATAACTCCTTTAAGCCCACATCAAGGAGGACTGTATGAGAGTTTAATTAAACAAGTAAAGCAAGCCTTGAAAGTTGCCATTGGACATCAGGTACTTACCTGGAATGAAATGTCAACAGCATTTGCTGAAGTTAAATGTTTGATCAACAGCAGACCACTGGGTTATTCAAGGTGTGACCCAAATGACCTTCAACCTCTCACCCCAAATCATTTTCTTCTTGGAAGAGCTTCAGCTGAGGTCCCTCAGGGTCCATTTCAGGAAACTAGGAACCTTCATAAGAGATTTGAATATGTTCAAATGCTTGTTCAGCAAGTGTGGAAGCGTTCCTGAGAGAATACCTACCGACATTAATGAGGAGAAGTAAGTGGCAAGTAAAAGGCCGACAGTTACAAGAAGGAGACATTGTGTTACTTGTTGACTATGGTGCACCCAGAGGTAAATGGGACCTTGCTCCTATTACTGATGTGTATCCGGGTAAGGATGGAATCATCAGAAATGTCAAAGTTCGCACCAAGAATGGGGTATACAAGCGTTCTGTGCAGAGATGTTATCTTATCTTGGAAGCATAAGACCAGTTTGTTATCATGCTCATTTTGTTGCCCCCCGAGGATTGTTTGGAATAATATTACATGTTGTTTTAAGGCTAGGTTGCACCTGAATTATTCTGCTATGGTTAGTTTTATTTGTGTGTCAGTATAAAGAGCTTGTCATTTTATCATGTACATTGGTATTATGAAATACCATGCAGACAGTCTTATTATGTTGTAACTGTTTTGGTTTTAGAGACTAATAGTGTATATTTAGTGTGGTCATGACTACAATTTGTTTGGTTTTCCCTGATGTAATCATAATATTTTGCAGAATTGTTTCTAGTCAGGAAATGTGCAGCAGTATTTTGCATTTTGTGTACTCGTTTGGAATAATATCTTTATTTGACCAGTAGTTAAGTTCTCTGACTGTAGATACATCGTAGTAGTGGCTTAAGTCGTTGACATTTGATACAATAGATGCTCCCTGGCTGTTAAAAGTTTACTGCGAGCGAGCGCATGAGTGACCCGCGATGGTCAAAAAGGAGTTTGTTGAGAGCAAATATAGATTGAATGTTGAAGTTTCAGAGACGGTCGAGATGCACTCTTCAGGTACAAATGTCACTCTTATAATATATCCATGTTTTGTGGCTTTGTATTATACTATTTTCAGAGTATTTTTAAATTACAGGAATGTTCAATTATTTGGTAACGTGCAAAACTGTATCCTATTTTCGTGGTAATGGTGCGATCTGATACATTGTGTTTTGTAACTATATAGCAGATTTCTGTTATAATGTCAGGATTTTAGAGTCAGTTTGTAGTTTTAGAATCAATATTAAGTCAACATGTTCAGTGTTAATTCATAGAATTTACTATCTGTAGTTTTGCTAGACTTTTTCAAAGTTTCGTGAAACTTGGGAGCAGTCATTGCATGACAGTGTCATGTATTGTGAACTTATTGCTGTAGTTTCATTATAATGGGATATTCACAAATGTTGTTTCATGATAATAAGTGCTAAATATAAGTTGCTACATTGTATCATTCTGTTATTTCAGAACCTGGAAGTAAACATCCTTGTTAGAGGAATATCTCGACCAGTGTTTTATGGTTCTGTCTATATGATTCCTACCAACTATCTTATTGAGGTTTGGGAAAGGGGCGAGTGGTGACGATTGCAACGACCAGTGTTAAATGTTTCTATTTTGTTCACTTTGTCACATCAGTATTATTGTGCCTCGACGATGCAATAATCTGGAGTTTATGACCGCTTCATGATACGACTCATACGATCAATATTGAAGTTCACCCGTTTTTTACAATCGTGCATGGCTGAATAAATGAAACGATAAAGTCACTTATGTCGAACGATTAATAGTTCACTATATATTAGCCTTGTTTCTGTTACGTTTAATGAGATTAACACGCTTGTATTGAGCTTCCATGAAAAATGATATTGTTGAAAGAGGTATATTTGGGCACAACCATTCGTCACCATTCGCCCTTTCCGTAAACTCCAGGAATACTCGTGCCCTCTTGATGCTGTGTTGTGTGCGAAAATATGACAAACCAATCAGAACGCGATGATGATTGCATGTACTTTGATATAAGTAATCTCAAGTACTTAAATCGTTTTTGGCATTGTATGATTGTTTAAAAATCTATCAAAAATTATGTATTGTCATGTTTAAAGTACACAGGATATACCTAACAGAAATTGTCTTGCCTCATGTGGTTACTTTTATTTATAAGGATAATGCTGTGGACGGTGAGGTATACAAAAACACGCACGTGCGTTTGTTTACATAACGGCTTTCTAATTGTGTGTATTTCTTGACGATCTTGCGGGTATGTTTTGAAGATTTTACGTGCGCTTTTCAAACATTTTTTTAGAAAATAATAATTATAATTCACTTCAAGTTTCAAAGCAATAATATTACATCTGTTAATAACAAATCAACTTTAATCTTTATCATTGGGCTCTAACGTCCATGGTCCCCAGTACGATGATCTACCTTCAGTTGGTGGCGATCTATAGCCAGTGTTTTCATACTGTATTGTCAAAAAAATGCTATTTGTTTTAGCTTAACATGCTAGTTTTTATTTACCTGTGATTGTTTAGGTGTTTTATTGTACTTTGGCGACATGTTTTATCATATACACATATTCTTTATCAATGTCAAAATTGTTTCTTCACGATATGGATGAAACTCTGCCGATGTGACATTAAATCTTAATTCCCTCACTCTTGTTTAACGTAGTTCTGATGTTCATGTGCCAGTATGAAGTCCTTCCAGAGGGGCACGCGTCGATATTCGGCTTGTGCCGGAATAATACGAGTTGGTCACGGTTTGGGCACAACTAAGGTTTTGGCTGAAGGCTGATATATGTACACGTCGAGTTTCACCCACAGAGTTCATTCTACTTAAATAAAGAAATATGCATTGATACCATATCTGTGATGCTTTAAAGAGTGGGATGTTTCTGGATTGGGAATAAATTGTCACTACAGTTATACTTGGACCACAGAACAAGGAAGAGAAAAAGGAATCAGCCATGTATTGTCTAGCATTAATGTAGTAAAGTTGCTTTAACTGACACCAGGTAATGGAAAATCTCGTGAGCGGTTGTACGTGTACAAAGAAGACAATGATCACCATCGTTTCATCAGCAAAATACCGTGAAGATCCGGGTTAGAATTGATCTTCAGCAAGATCCGGGTTAGAATTGATCTTCAGCAACAATGTTGATTAGTTTCAAGACGTGTAAAAGGTGACCCAGTCATCTCAGGAACTACAAGTTCCTGTACAGAGTTGTTTCCCTTAGGTTTGTATGTTTGATGTTTGATATTCAAACTATGTGTCTCTAGTCTGTAAACAGACGATCTAGTGATCGACACCCGTGAATGTCCGGGTTAGAATGAACCTTCAGTAACCTATGCTGGTCGTAAGAGGCGACTAACGGGGTCGGGTGGTCAGACTCGCTGACTTGGTTAACACATGTCATCGGTTCCCAATTGCGCAGATCGGTGCTCATGCTGTTGATCACTGGATTGTCTGGTCCAGACTCGATTATTTACAGACCACCCCCATATCGCTGGAATAGTGCTGAGTGCGGCGTAAAACTAAACTCACTCACTCACTCCAGTGATCGACATCATGAGCATCGATCTAAAAATAATTGGAAACGATGACGTGTCAAGAAAGACGATGACCAATCAATCTCATGACACGTATGAGTGGCTAAAGACCAATTCTAACCCGGATCTTCAAGGGTGTTATGATCAGGCGTGCGAAAACTATTATCGTTGGTTCGAGTCCCGGTTGTCCTGACCCCTGGGTTTCACTGTAAAGACCTGCATTATCTGCTATCTCCTCCCACGTCAAGCTGACACGGCGTAATACAACTGGACAAATATTTTAAAAGGTTTTAAAAGATAAAAGACAGGCAGACATGAGTCTGATAAACAGTCGTTTTGGCGGTCCTCATACGTCATTATTATTTGTATTACTAATACAAACACTGACCTCAAATGAGCATTGTATTTCAATATCAGCATACAGCGACGTACAAATTAACATGGGGAACGGCGATTAAGTTTTATTCGTAGCTATTATGGCAGCTATTAATCACTGAAAACAGACCAAATATGTGGAGTGGAGAGACTGGCACACATATACGGTACACTGGTAGTATACACAAAGGGTTATTTTCCTGTGACAAATATTAGATTTGTGCTCACATTGATCATAACTGTAATAATGTAAACTTTTGAACTTACG